GGGACAGCTGATTCCTGGCTCGTGCCCAGCCCCGCACTGCGCCTCTGCCTCCGACTGGCTCTTAAAACATTTTAAAAGGCAGAGCCGCAGCGGGCTTAGCTCCCGAGACCAGAATCTAACCCTGCTGCAGCTCTGCAGTTTCCCCCCTTGTCAACTAATCGAATACTCTATTGAAAGTCTATCGACTACTCTATTAGCTGATTAAATGAAATATAACATCCCTAGAAGGTAGAAAGTATTAGAAATTTATTCACTACCCCAGCTTCAGTTTAAATGCCACATTAACCTGCATTTATGTTGGAGCTGAGCTGAATCAAGAATTTAATAAACTTAGGCTTATTACCGTATGTGCATGAGACGTTTTTGGGTCTGGATGACTTTTTCCTATTTATGAGGATATTCATTATTCTTACTTATTCACTAGACAACTTGGATCAACAGTTTTCAGCCTATGGCTTTTCTGAAAAATTTAGCTATCTGCATTGCGAGACCCATCACATGGGCAGCTGGGTTAATGGAATGAGAGGCATAGCTTAATATCTCCATATAGATGTGCATGCATGCTACCGCCTACACCAGAGAACCCCTCCTTTCTTGATTTTGTAATTAAGGACTAGTATTTTATCTAAATTAATCAAAGAGACTACTCCCAAAAGGCAGGATAATCAAATGGGCTTTAACATGGCATCTTCTAGCCACAACTTGAATCATATATAGATCCATCACTTGGGCACTCACATACTATGAAGAATAGCATGAACGTCTACATAGATGTTCATTTTGTAAAAAGATTCATTCATGCAAAGTCCTTCTCTAAGTACACTCTACGCACACCTCTTATTCCAAGCCAAACAAGTAGTGCAAATACATTTTCAATCCACTACCCTGTTGTAAATCGTTTGCTCTTGTCAGAATATGAACTTCCATCTCTTCTTCCAACTGACAGTGAGCTAACACTGTCTATGAAACCCACCATTGTCACCAGAAGATAACACTCTTTTTTCGGCATGCAGCTTTCTTACACTGGATCAAATGTTCATTTATGATACAGTCTTGCAGTCCCTGGGTTGCATGCAAGAGTGCAAAATCCAGCTCAATGTGATACAGGCTGAACCTCTCTAAACCAGAACACTCTTGTCCAGAAACAGCTATCATCCAAGCATGATTTTAGTTAACCGGATGGCCACTTCCCATGGATGTGGCTAAATATCCTGCAGTCCCATAAAGTTTGTTTACAGCTATTCAGTGTTCTGTGCTGTTATTTAGCTCTAATTTATCCCTAAATGTCTCCTAAGAGCACAGTAAGCTGCAGAAGTGTTAGTAATGCTGCTAGACAATATTGACCTCTCGTGGTCTAGAAAATTCTCTCATTCGGAACCAGTCAGGTCCCAAGGGTTCTGGATTAGAGAGGTTCAACCCGTATTGCATCTGAGCATAGATTTTAGATTTCATGTGTCTCTGGACAAGAATGCTGTTAAACTAGTGGAAATTTAGACACTGATCTCCACTCTGAAGGCAATAGCAGTCTCTCCGTAGAAAACGGTGCAAGTTGTATTGGGCCTTTAGAGAAAGGGGGAAAAAAATAAGAATCAGGCTGGACTTAAATGTGTCCAAAGTGATGTATAAAAGGACAGGAAGGATCAATAACCATCTACAAGTTTGGGATTTAGAGGATACAAACACCAAGTGGCTTTGGGAGAGGGAGGGGAGCCTTTGTGGAGTATGGTGTTCAATGGGGGGCAGGGAATAACTGGGATTTGTTAGATCAGTGGTTCCCAACCTTTTTTATACCGCGGTCTAGCAAACCCATTCAAACTTTCAGTGGACTGGTAACATTTGCATATTTTGCATATTCATTATGCAAATAATGATTATGTAAATAAAATGTTGCTGGTCCGCCAAAAAGCTCCAGCCCTCAGAGCCGCCACAAAGCCAGCTTCCTCTCCGGCACTCACCATGTGACAGGTGGCTGCCACAGCTGAAGTCAGCTGTTCACGGTGGCTCTGGAGGCCGTGGCTGGGGTACATCCCAAACTCAGAGCCCCCCAGTGCCAGCCCTAACCCCTAGGAGCCCCCAACCCCTCCACTACCCCCCAGTACCAGCTACTGGCCCCAGAGTCCCCTGCATCCAACCTCTTACCCAGGCCAGCCTCCTGTCCTCAGAACCCCCCAATGTCAGCCCCCCATCCCAAACATCTCAGTGCCAGCCTGCCAGCCCCCCAACCTTTAGAGTCCACCACCACCAGACCCCCCCCTTCCCAGTACCAGCCTCCTGTTTCCAGAGCTCCACTACACTCAACTCCCACAGAGCTCCCCCCAATGCCCAATATTAGCTCGAACCCCAGTGCCAGCCCCCTAGAGCCCCCCAGCACTAGCCCTATCCCCAGAGCCTCTCTCTCCCCCCTCACCTAGTCCTGCACTGCCTCCCAGCTGAGTGCTGCTGCCCAGGCTGCAGCTGTTCTAAGGCTGCCATGCCGGGCTCCACGCAGCCCTACCACCACGTAGCAAACCACTCTTCTACATCCGGGAGGGGACCCCGCCCCTGCCCAGTGCTGGCTAGCTTAGAGGCAGGGGAGGACACGCCCCCCCCAACAGCCACGGCAGGAAGGGAGGCTGCTGGGCAGCGTGCCCCAGACCCAAAGCCACCACAGCCTGACAGCCAGTGGTTCGTGGCCCAGCACCAGGTCACAGATCAGCGGTTGGGAACCACTGTTAGAGCAGTGTTTCTCAACTTTTTTTTTTTTTAAAGTACCCCCAGGACCTACAGTTTTCAGACTCATGCATTTTTTTTCTACCATTGCAACTTAATCGTAGCTGGGCGGGTGATGAAATTTTTGGGTGTAAAAAGTTGTAAAACTTAAAACAAACATTCAGTTTTCTCCAAATTTCAGTTGTGTTGATGAACCCTGGACTTCTCTCAAGTACCCTAAGGGTACTCATACCATGGGTGAGAAACACTGTGTTAAATGACATTGAGCAAGGAAACATTTAGATGGAGTATAAGGAAAAAGTTACCAAATAGTGAAATCTTAGGTTGTGGAACAGTCAGTCACAGAAAACTAGAGCAAAGGAGATACTGTAAGAGAATTCTTTATTGGCTGAAGGACAACCTAAAAGGTCTTGCTTATGCATAACCCTGTGACATGTGCTGCTTATCTCAAACATCTCCTAGTTATGGCCGTGTGAGTTACACATGGCAAAAGGAATTAGAAGAAAGGATGCCAAAGGTGGCAATAAATGGAATTAAGGATGGCATGTAATTGTAGACTTGGAGAACAAGTCTGCATTCCATACCACCACACATGTATGAAACAGGTATTCTCATTTGAAGCCAGATTCCAACACCTTCCTCACCCTGTAGAATATCCTACTCACAAATCATTTCCCCATTAATTTCCTGTTGGACTCCTCATGAAGCAAAGTACTAGGAGTGTCAGTTTTTAGCCCTCTGTCTTGCACAGTGCCAAACAGTATCAGTGAACACAAACATCAGGGAAAATGTTCCATGTGACTGTATTTGGCAAGTCATATTTCTAATCTCACTACAGCATTTAACATTTGCTTTTTTTTTTAAGTGGATAATTTGCAGAGATCTTAAGGTAATTCTCACTGTACCTACAATAGCATATCTGGGGAACTGCCTTCTAGTACAGCTCTACCAGAGGGTGGCAACAGCAGAACAGATGTAACAAACAGGCAGTATGGATGGAGCACTACTATGAAAGTCAGAACACCTGGGTTCTATTCCCAGCTCTACCACTAAACCTGCATAACATGAGAAAATTTGTTCACTGTTTTGTTTTCCCTCCTACCCCTTCTCCTGTCTAATTCAACAAGAAACTCTTCAGGGCTGCCTTATACTGCCTTATGTCCGTATACAGAGACTGGGACAATAGATTCTCTCAGTGCTACCGTAACACAAATAATGAGTAGGGCGATGGTGTTTTACTGTTACGATGCTGAATTCTGCACAGATCCTGGTGGTGAAAGCACACTGTCTACATCAACATTTTCTTTTTGCTACCACTGGCAGAATGGAAACACAGGAAGCTTTCTGAAAAGTGCAAAAATGGACAAGACACAAAGTACTAAAGTAATGGGTGTCTCAAAAATTTCTATAATAAATGCTAAGCATGAGTGCATTTATATTTGCTTTTCAAATCCTTTACTCCACCCCCCATTATATTCATGTTTTTAGCACAACAATCCCTCTATTTCATTTTCAGCAGTTTGTAACACTTCTGTACCTACCGTGGCAGGTGGGGACAGACTAGATGGCCACAGCACTTCAACATAACGGAAATAGACTAATAAAATATATTCTACTTAGTGGCTCAAATTGACAAGTGAGCACCTGAATTGTAAACTCAACCACTTAGTTCCAAGACAACAAAAAATCAATGTACCGAGCTCTTCGAATCAAGTTTGTTACAACTTAAAGCTTATTATCCTTCAGGCAACTGTATGTGTTATGTTCCAGGTTACTCTAAAAATCCAAGACTTTTTTTTCATTTAAAGGGACATTTATAAGAACATGTTAATACTTTAGTAGTGTCCCAATATCACCACTGATAATTACTACATTTTAAATAAAGCAAAGATTATTGTTTGCCTATTAAATCTCAATCCCCGCTTCAAAAAGAGGGGAAGTAAGGTGATGCCCAAATTAGTGACTCTTTCCTTACCTTAATCATTGTAAGCGCATCATCCATCCGTAAATCCTTAGGATCCCATACAGATTCTTTTAACTGTGTCCCCTGAAAGTGAAGCCAAAAAAAACAACAACTTTTACTTCAACAACTATACAATTATGAATATTTTTAGGAAAGATGCGGAAGAGCAAAACACTTGCCACTGCCTTTAGAAAAATCATTTCTATTTCACTTGCTCTTGCTCTAGAAACAGAAATTTACTGGATGTTATTGGAAAAGCTATAAAGAGAGCTTGAGCGAGAAAAATATATGAACTAAGAATGTTAAGGACTAGTCGATTCCTCCCCCCTCCCCCGCTGCTGCCACTATGAGATAGACACAGTAAAGGGGAGAGAAGGCAACTTCAAAGCAGCAAAGCAGCACAGCTGAGCCGCACTGCCGCTTTGAAACCCCAAGGCACTACCCCTTTAAAACACTGAAGTGTGGAGCCCAGGGACAGCTGGGGAGTCCCCAGCTGATCCAGGGCTCTATGCAGCATTTCCCCAGAACCCAGGGTCAGCTGGGGAGTCCCCAGACTCTGAGTCCCTTGCTGATCCCAGGCTCCATGGCTTTGAAAGCACAAGGGCCCCTGCTGGGGACTCTTGTACATTTCAAAGCAGGCACCCGTGCGCAGCCCAGAGTCAGTGGCACCCCCCGCTGGCCCTGGGCTGTACAGAGAGTTCTGCATTCCTAGTTTGAAATGTACAGGACCCCCAGAAGGGGCTCTTGTACATTTCAAAGAGGAATGAGCAAGTGCCTATCGACTAGTCGAGTAGTCAATGGAAATTGACTACTCTATTAGTCAAAGAACTGCATTTTAACATCCCTAATATGGACACATCTTTAAATTCCATTGAGATACAAAGGACAGCCTCATCATGTACCAGTCTCTTACAAGGTACTAAGCATGCACAGGGGATAATACCACCTTAAAATGAGTGATCAGTATAAAAGTAGTCTGTAGGAAAGGAGTAGGGAACATCTGGCCCATAGGCTAGTTACATCCGCCTGCTTAATTTCATGTGGCCCGCTGAAACTTCCCTACTGCACTCAGTGCACCAATGGCAGGGCTGGGGTTAACCCTCTAAACTCCACATTGCCAGAGCCCTGTATTGCCCACAGCTGGGGCTGACCTACTGAGCTCTGTGCTACCCCAAGGGGTTAGCTCTGAAGGACGTGCTACCCACCAGCAACCAAGTCTTCCTTTCTCCTGCTGACAGGCAATGCTGACTTCAGCTGTCCAGACAGCAGCCACTGTCCTCCACTCTGCCTTGCAGCCAGGACAAATACCCAGTGGGACCTCCCTGTGCCTTATGAGAATTGGCTGGTAAGTATGAATATGTGTAACTCGCAGTTGTTTTATACAAAATACCTCATGTGACCTATCAATTTTAACGTTACAATCTGTTGCAGGTGTATGTTGTCTTTTCATGCATGTACCATTCTTGAAAGTGAGGTTAGAAATATACAGGTGGATACGTTTATAGTTCTACATGTGCTAAGGAGGGCCATCTCTGATGCCCTGAAATGTAATAACTCCATGAACAAATTAACGGAATAGTCTTACTTGTCCTGTAAGCCCAAACAGTCGTTAATTTATCTGGGGTTGTAGTCTCATTGGGGGTTGTTTTCCTGGGTTCTGAGTCCTTAGAAGTGAGCCCTCGCAGAGCTGAACTGGTTCAATGTGTGTTGCTCTGCATAGGGCAGTAACCCCCAACTCCGTGCCGAGGCTGGCAAAGGCCAGAGGGCCTGACCCAACAGGACAGGGTGCTGGGGAGCCCCAGATAGCAGGCCGGCAAGTGTCAGCGACATGAACAGCACCTTCAGGAACTTCTGTGACTTCAAATTGCCACGTGCAGTTTGGGCAAAAAATAGGGACGGTTGGTCCAGAGCTGAAAAAGAGGACTGTCCTGGCCAAAATAGGATGCATGGCCATCTTAAGAATACCAGTCCATCTATGAAGGGAGATGAAGACCATCATGAGGAAGAGACAGTCACCTCTCCATAGTCAGGCTTGAGACCTATTTCCATTCTAAGGTCTCACTTTAACTCTCTCTAAATCACACAAACTCATTTCAACTTCACATTTTGCATGGAAAAAAATTGTTACCCAAAAGAGAGAGTTACAGTTTTATTACTTGTGTGGTGTGTGTGTGCGCGAGGGGGGGGGGGGGTTCCAGGTGGGAGCTGGTCTGTGAGGGGAGCCACTTTAAAAACTGGCAGAGGCAGCAGTGCAAGGTGGGAGCAGCTCCTGTCCAGGGGACTGAGCTCCCGGACCCGGCGCGAACTGGAACTGAGCTGGACTAGGCTGCCTGCCCGCCTGGCTCCATTTCAAATGCAGAGCTGCAGTGGGGGAAGGTCCCAGACCCGGGCCAAGCCTGGACTGAGCCTGCTTTAAAAAAAAAAAAAAAATGTATTGGCATTGGCGGGGGGGGGGCTGTGCGTGTAGTCTATAGCATTAACCTATACACTTCTGCTTACTTGTTAATCTACTACACTATTACATCCCTACACTGAAGCTGACCAGCAGCACAAAAGCTCAGAGATTCTCTCAAATCTTTTACAATCATGCCAGTCATGAAAAGGTATTCAGATCTGTGGAGAAACTGAGCCACGTGCCAAAAACATGACAAGAACAGAGTAAGGGTTAGAAAGATTTCAACTGACTTCAGTGGGCATTGGATTGGGCCTCCAAGTTAAGATAGTTATTGAAGTCACATGAGTAATCAGTGACAGAACAGGCTAAAACTTCGGGAGTCTGACTCCTTCTCCTCTGTTCTAGTTCTTAGACTCAATGCCCTCCCTACTTCCTTTTGACAGATGTTAAATATAGGACTGTGCAGACATATTCCAAGATATTGATAACTGTATTTAACATGTGAACAGTGCTATGCATACCAAGAAGATTATACAACCAGATCTGCTCTTGGAGTTTAAATTTAGATGATCATAAAGAAAAAAATATACATTAGCAATTGAATAAGTGCGTACACCAGCACAGAGAGGACAGGAATGTATGTTCTATATTCAACTTAGTGAGAACCATCCAGCCTTACAAGTATTTTCACTAGACTGCCTTGTTAAGATTGGACAGACAGTGTCCCTACAATGTAATCCAAATGCCAGATAATCTTACAAAAATGCAATATCCCGAGGATATGAATATAACAGTTTTGCCACGGAGCAGTCAGCTGACTGATAAGCCATGTCTGCAGCCCAATGGCCTCAATACATGCTCTAATTAGGCTACCCTCGCTGTTTGTGTATTTGGATGGCAGCATTCTTAGAGGAGAGAGTCTGTATACTGTTGGGGGCACACATGACACCAAGAGAAGGGCTTCATCTACAACAAGGGGTGTAAGTCTTCCATTGTTGTAAGCCTAATCAGCTGCATCTGTGCTAGCAATGTTGGAAGTACTTGCACAGACCTGGCTCAATTGTTTTTTACTACTATGTTGTCTAGAGGGTAGAGGGCTGTCAAAAGGGCTCAGGAGAATAAAAAAGTTTGTATGGAAACAAGGTGCTTTAGGTTAGTCACTTGTAAAATAAAGATAACTTACATTCATAAGGTTTTGCGTGAAAGATGTGCTTTACAAACACGGTCAGTATTACACCCATGTTATGGACAGAAAAAATGAGATGGAGATACTGAGGTTAAGATTTTCTAAAGAGGCATTTCCTAAAGTGTGAGGCACCCGGTGTCTACTGAATTTCAAGGGGAGTCATGATCTAAACTTTAGTATGCCCCTTTTGAAAATAAAAATAAAAAGTCAAAGCTTAAGACACTTAATAAAATCCCGCAGCAACAAATCCAAATAAAATCCCGCAGCAACAAATCCAAATACAACTCCGGAGTTCAGTCTACTAGTCCTGTTATACAACAGTACTGAAAAGAAAGAAAAGCACCAAGCCACACTACTTTAGTCATGACATACTTCACTAGGATGTTGATATTTTCATACATGATGCAAGTCTCCAAAATTCATGGATCAAAAGGTGCTGTGTGCAAAGGAAGTTTTGTAACTGAGTTTGGCACCTACCATTGAGTTGCACGAATGCAGAGATGTGCACTTCGTGAGGACTGGCGTGAGAACAATTCAAATCTATTCCATGTGTAAGTCCAGTTGTTCCCAACCTGTGGTCTGAGGACCCTGGTGGCCTACGATGGTACTGCAGGGCATCCATGAAAAGTTTAAAAATAAGTATTGGGCATGGGCTCAATCCTTACTTCTCTTTTCAGTTCTTACTTTTTTTCCCCCCCTCCTCGGGGACAGGGGGTTCTGAAATTTGAATACACTGAAAAGGTGTCCGTACGCTCAAAAAAGCTGGGAACCACTGTGTTAGCTGATTTTTCACACAGGAGTAGCACAAGTTACAGCTTTGAATCCTGTATCCCTATCTCCCCTACTCAACAGCAAGGCCAGAAGGACAGGTGTTGGGTGGGAACTCATCCCTAAACCCTCCTTTTTTCTGGCAAAGGAGGCACCACTCCTTCTAAACCCACCACAACTAAGAGTTCAGGAGCCCAAAGACTGGAACTTAAGAGACAATTTCACACAGGAGTAGCACAAGTTACAGCTTTGAATCCTGTATCCCTATCTCCCCTACTCAACAGCAAGGCCAGAAGGACAGGTGTTGGGTGGGAACTCATCCCTAAACCCTCCTTTTTTCTGGCAAAGGAGGCACCACTCCTTCTAAACCCACCACAACTAAGAGTTCAGGAGCCCAAAGACTGGAACTTAAGAGACAACCCCCCCCCCCCCCCCCCCCCCCAAATTTAAGGTCTACGTCAGGAAGGGAAATAATTTTTGGGGGGGGGGGGGGAGGGAGGAGACACTCCAAAATTTTGGAAAGTGGCCGGGCGCCACACTCTTCCATGGTATTAACGGAGGAGGTGCGGAGTCTGGGATGGAGATTGGGTGCAGAAGGGAACTTGGGTAAGGGACTGGGGTGTAGGACGACCTGTGAGGTCTGGGAAGGAGTCTGTGAGAAGGAGGCAGCTGTGACCTGAGGCACAGGATTTGGGTTGTGATCTAGGGCAGGAGGGAATTATCGGAGCAGGGAAT